AGTACGCGGAGTATCTGGGGAGCTGGAAGATGAGAACTGGCGACTTTGTAGTACAACTTTAGTGCACGGAGCAATCTGTGGAGCTGGAAGCTGAGAACTGGCGACTTTGTAGTGCAGCTGGAGTGCGCGGAGTATCTGGGGAGCCGGAAGATGAAAACTGGCGACTTTCTAGAACCTCTTCAGTACGCGGAGCAATCTGTGGAGCTTGAAGCTGAGAACTGGCGACTTTGTAGTACAACTTTAGTACGCGGAGTATCTGGGAGCTGGAAGATGAGAACTGGCGAAGTTGTAGTACAACTTTAGTACGCGGAGTATCTGGGGAGCTGGAAGATGAGAACTGGCGACTTTGTAGTACAACTTTAGTACGTGGAGCAATCTGTGGAGCTGGAAGCTGAGAACTGGCGACTTTGTAGTGCAACTTTAGTACGCGGAGTATCTGGGGAGCTGGAAGATGAGAACTGGCGACTTTCTAGTACAACTTGAGTACGCGGAGTATCTGGGGAGCTGGAAGATGAGAACTGGCGACTTTGTAGTACAACTTTAGTACGCGGAGCAAGCTGTGGAGCTGGAAGCTGAGGACTGGCGACTTTGTAGTACAACTTTAGTACGCGGATGAGTCATCTCTCGCGGCTGCTCTGGCGCCCCTGCAGCTGAGTCATGTCTCCCGACCACCCGGCTCTCTTGAGAGGTTGACAAATTTTAGCCACTTTGCTTACTCATAAGTGGCTGCCACAAAAGAGTCATCGTGGCGTTAGTATGTGTGTACTTCACCACCTTCATGACAAACGATGTTCGCTTGGGATACACGAGTCGCTTGTCATGATCGTGACGTCGTTTACTCTCAGGTCGCCCTGTTCGTGGAAACTTCAGTGTGAAATGTACGTTCTTCAGTCCTTTTTGAACCTCTTCAGCGTTGTACTTGCGCAACTAAGGTTGACCTTGCGCTGCCGTTGCATCGACGCATCTACGTCTACACCCCCTCACCTCTCTACATTTACATCTTCACACGCTCACATCCGCATATCTACGTCTCCACCTCACCACACCCACACATCTGCACATCTATATCACATCTGTACATCCACACTGTCGCTCCTTCACATCTGTCCTGTCTTTCTTTCTTTCTTTCTACATATCTTTTCTCTCGTCTCTGTGCATTTACATCTTCGCACGCTCACATCCACAGATCTACCTCTCCACCTCCATACATCTACAGATCTATATCGCACCTGCACATCCACACTGTCACTCCTTCACATCCACCCTCTCTTCCTCTCTTTCTATACATCTTTTCGACAGTGCTGGACAATTACATGTCTCGCTCTCGGGCCAACCGTCGTCTAGTTCTTTTCTTGCTGCTTGGTTGATTGTTTGTGATTATTTGGTTGGTGTAGCGCAGAATCCTTGACGATTTGATTCCCACCATTTGCACAACTATAGGCCATTCTTTTTGCTGGTGTTGCAGTGTGAATCACCTGAACCCTGCGAGTGGCCAGCCCATTCAAGTGTGCGATCGGGAGATTGTTCGCCAATGTGTGACCAGCTGGTTTGGCTCGGAGCAAGAATTTGATCATTCGGTGCGATCAGTTGTCGCCCATGCACTTAAACAACAACTTGGATGTGATGCATTTCCATACACTTGGATGCTTGGCTCCACCACGCCTCTCTTGTGGCCTCTATTTGACTTTGTGGCATCCTACCAAGGAGCAGAAAAGATGCGTTACCTAGCCCCAAGCTGGGCGATTAGGATTCTGGCCTACTGGCTTTGGGGCATTCCTTTTCCTGCAACGGTTGGGCTTTTCGCTGCACGCTGTTTGCGAGAAAAGGGGCAGAGCAGATTCCGAGACTTTCTGAAGACTCTCTTGGTGATCATAATCGCTGCGCCCTGCGGACTTGTGGTGATCGGTTGGCAGATTTACATTGAGCTGAACTTTTTCGATGAACTGCAGAGTGGTCACTTGGATTTCTAAAGAACGTCTACGGCCACCACGTGCGCAATCTAGAACCAGCACAACTTGCGTAAAGGAAGATTGACCCAAAACTTTTGGATGGCCTCTTTCGAGAAAACCCTGTGTTCGAGATACTACTGTAGGTCACTAGGTCCTACCCCGTGAGGCATCCCCAATCTTGAGTCCTCAATCTATCCCTGCAACCAGAGCCATGCGACAGGACCATGCACAGTAACGCTGGAGTATCTGTTGGGATCGATTTGTTTGATGTTCCATCAGCTGGCGCCTTTTGGGGAAGATTCGGCAGATGCCGAAATGGAAAACAACTTCAGCTCCAAAGCAGCAAATCCAAGCCGGGCATAGTTTCACTTGCCTGTCAACCTTGGGTTGGGACCTGTCAGACCTGACAGACTTCCTCCAAAACCCCAGGTCATGAGACATGGGCTTCGTTGCTCTTCGTGGGTGGCTGTGCTGTGATGTTTTGGGCGGCTCGAAAGGCTTATCACCTCAGCAATCAGCGCTTCTTCAAGAGCCTTACGCTGGCGACCTCATAAGACACCTGAACTGCTGGCAGTAATACACCCCACTGCTAGTTGATTCACCTTTTGTTAGTAGACTGGGCGGGTAGGCCGTAGAGGTCAGGTAGGTCAGCTAGGGAGCCGGTCGCTGGTAGAAGCAAGGTAGCTAGTAGCTTAAGTAGCTCCTACGCATGGACGCAGGATAGCGCTCGCATTATTTGGTTCCATTGCTACCCTTCGGCCCTCAAGTCTAAGGAACAGATCATCTTCCAAAGCCTCGTTCCCGAGCGGGTGGTCTTAACAGCCATGTGCAAACTGCCAGCGAAGGGATTGGCAGATGTTTCACTGGCACCTGGAGACCTCCGAGCTTTGCTTTTCTTTTCCACAAAATGAGTACTTTACTTTGCTTACCTTTGCTTTGGAATCAGGTCCCCAAGTACTAACCAACAGTGTCTATTTGCTTTGTGCCATCCACCATTTCACGAGACTGGGACACGTAAGATGGAGAAAGGTCCCCTCAAGCAAAAGGGGCCTTTCCTTGCCATCAAAGATGCAGTGGGATAAAGAAAAGGTCGATGCATTCACAGTCATAGAAGAACGGCTTTGGCAGCATGAGGGTGCTTAGGCTGTAGGTGCGCTGTTTCAGAATTGATGGTAACGTCCAACTCTTCCAAGCTCGGTCTAACCCCATGCCACTGATCAGGAGACATTGATGGCCTATGCCCATCAGCAGAAGCTTCAGGCTGCGTCAATCGTGAGCTGTGTGGGCTCCTTGCGCAAGGCCCGATGGTAGCAAATGGGCAGCCCAATTCGTAAAGGGCTGGACGACTAGTCCAAGTCAAACTTCATGGTGAAGACAAGGTTCTCTTAAACGATTCGGATTTGGTAAGAAACACATTTTAATCCAAGGGTCTGGGAGACGCTGTTTGGAAAGACATTGAGTGAAGGTCGACCAGAGAAATGACCAATCAGGACATTTGAAAGGAGGACTATGACGGACCTCCCGGAAGTCCAAGGCTTTTAATTCATGTTCATGCGACCCAAAGTAAGAACTTCCTTTGTTTCACTAGTGCAAACGATTGTCGTTGGACTTCGGTTTGGTCGTTGCTCCCAACTCAAGCGATTCGCTGATAGCGCCATTGATCTCCACCACAGGCATCCCTGCGGCTGGCGGATGCGACACACGACGCGCGGGACAAGGCGACAACTGGGTACTGGGGCACTGCCTTCACTGAAGACGAAAGGTGCGACCATCCATGGTCGTATCAAAACGCGCACACAGTCATGGTCGTCGTCATCGTTCTGATCAACCCGAAAACACCTTGAACTTCATTAGATTGTGGTGAGTCAGGGGCATTGTTTTCTTCATCCAGATTCAATAGAAAAACAGTCGCTTGGGAAAACTCTCTTCAGCATCCTCAAGCTGCGAATGTAGGGGTAACCGTCCTTCGGTGAGTGGGGACTAGCTGAGTTTCTGTGCTTGACAAATCCCTCTCACTTGTGAATCCCACTTCGATCGCGCATTGCCTCATGATTCCGAGAGCTTCTTTCACTATGGAAGCTATAGATGTTGCTCCCCTTCACCATCCCCCTTGTGTGTTGTATTTTATGGGCTCTTCTCTTCGTGGAGTTTTGGACTATGTTGGCACCAGTGTTGGCACCATAATCCGCGGTGTGGGGTAATACAAGGCCTCACAGCTTGATTTACAGCCAAGTAGTGGTGCTTGGTGCCAGCCACTCTAAAACTGGTGCAGAGCTGCTAGGAGCTTCACTTCGACGAGAAGCTGGAAATCACGTCTTTAGTGGGTACCTTGGGCTTCTTGTCAGAAAAGTCCAGTCCTTGGCGCCAGATCTGCAGATCGGTCCTGGCGGTGCGCAGTGTTGTGCTTTACAAGGGGAAAGAGAGGCTGCGCAAGAACACATAGAGAAGCTCTGCTCACTCTTGTGTTTTGGAGAGATGGTGGCCTTGCCCCCCATTATCTGCCGCTTTGGAAGGCAGTAGTGGCAGTGGGGCGTTTAGCTTGACATGATAGATTTGCATGCATGACTGCTCCAAAATTGCGATGAACCTGGTTCCATCATCCCATGCACCTCGGGCCCCTTGAATCCCGAAATCTCCTTACGCGCGCGGTCTGGACCGTCGAACACGAGGATTGGAAGGTGGCCATTTGCACATGTCTGTGGCCAACAAGGACAAGGGAATTGCCCCATGGCTCATTTTCTGTGAAGATGTGCGGAAGCTGGTTTCTAAGAGCTGGCCAAGTCCAAATCAGGGTGAACAAATTCGCACAGAATAGCGATCGAAAGAGACCGAAAATAGCATCCCCAAATTCATCCCAATGCATCCCATGACTGCACACCACACCACTGTCGATCTTTTTCCGGATTTGGGGACCGCCAGACTTCTTGCAAACACTGAAACCATGCTCATCGCAGCTTGGATCCCCGTCTACGCGGCATATGACAGGAGGGCTGCGTCTTCGGCGGCCACGTCTTGCCAGGCTGCCAGGTGCCGCCCGGGTTTGAGAGAGGATTGTTTGGGGCGAGGATTAGGGCTCCGGGGGCCTCCTGGTTCCTTCAGTCTGTTTTTCCAAGGGCTTTTGGGGGGCAATCTCCCATGACCATCCCCAAAAAGGTTCCTAGAACTGTAACCATGCCCAGACCATCCACATATGGGACATTTGCACACATTGGGGTGGTTGACCTGTAGGCGTATATTATTCCAGTCCCATGGCATATCATGGATAGATTTTTGGAGTACATGGCGCATCATGGAGCTATTAGAAACAAGAATTAGACTTTTTTCTAATAGCTTCTTGCTACTACTAGTAAGGCCCTTGTTACTAGTAGCGATGCACTTGTTTCTAGTAGC